CACAAAGACCATAATTGGGTTCCCTGAAGCCAACAGAAGAAAGCAAGATATGTGTTCTGTCAATGGGGCTTCGCTGTTCCCAAAGAAGGACATGCCACAGAAACTGCCAGAGGAAAAAATGATGGGTGTTGATAATAACCTTGGACTTTATATGTGCACTCCTACTTACCAGTACTAGATAAGGACAATCAACAGTTCCTCCCATCTGAGCACCAGCAGACGCACACTGGACAGCTCTTGCCTTCCCCATCAGACCAGGTAACTGAGTCCCTCACTTATTCACAGCACCTAGCTACGTTTTACCGCGATTACTCAGAAAAGCAGCTCCTAAGTGGCTCACACCTGCAATTGAACATTCAAGAAGCTGAAGCAAGTGAATTGCTACAAGTTCAAAGCCAGTCTAGACAACAGTGTGAACCTGCCTCAAAAAAAAAGAGGAAAAGGAGGAAGAGGAAGACGTGGTATGGCAGCAGCCCCTATATAGTAACATACTACAACTTTTAATAACAGCCTTCATTGATCATCTATAAAGCACTTATACCCACATCTCCATCCCTCACTACAACCTATAAAGGTTAGAGAGGTTAAGAGTAGTTGATGTACAAACATGAAGACATGAGTTTTATCACCAGAACCCACATATAAAGCCTAGAAATAGTATCATGTGACTGTAATCCCAGAACTGGGGAAGCAGAAAGAAATGGATCCCCAAGACTTGCTAGCCATCCAACTTACCCTACTTAAGGAAGTTCAAGATCAATGAGAGACCCTATCTCAAAAAAACAAAGCAAAACTAGATGTAACCTAAGAAAAGATACCCAACATTGGCCCCTGGCCTCCACACCCACACATACACATATGAAAATGCATACATATGCAGATGTACAGACACACACACACCCCTTGCCCAGGGTCAAAGGCAAGAAATAGTTTAGTGGTGTATACATGTAATCCCATCTAAAGTAGGTGAATGGCAAATTCAAGGCCAGCCAGGGTTACACAGTAATACCAGTCTCAAGAATAAATGAATAAAAAGCAAACAAGAAGCAAAAGTCTGGGAATGCAACCTGGTTGGTAGAGTGCTCCTTGCCATATACAATGATCTGAGTTTGATCCCCAGCACAACATAAACCAGGGAATGGTGCACACTTGAAATCCTAGCACTCAGGAGGTAAAGGTAGAAGGATCAGAAGTTTAAGGTCATCTTAACTATGTAAGAGTTCAGGGTTAATTGGGTTGGTTACATGAGACCCCGGGCAGCCTAGGCTATAAGACACCCTATCTCAAAACAACAAAAGCAACCAAAGGAGAATGACTCTAAAGACTGTTCTTCCCGTTGTACTAGGGAATCTAAAGAAATTGAGAAGTCCGCCAGATGTGGCACATGCCTTATATCCCACCCAGAACTTGTGGGTGGAGACAGAAGCATTCGGCGTTACAGGAAGCCCTGGGTTACATTTGGACCTTGTCTCAAAAGCAACAAAAAAGAAATATCTCTAAAACTTAAGAAGTTGAGTTTCTCAAGTAGTCAAAAAAACTTCAAGTAATCACCTTGCCTTCAGTGGGTGAATCAGTTTTACTTTCTTTGACCAACTAATTTCAGATGAAATGAAAATCCCAGTTCTATTTAAAATAATTTATGATCTAAGCATCTTGATGTTAAATTTATTTTCCATCAAGACACAAAACAGAAAACAGCAAAGGAAGAATTTTTATTAGGCTGAAGATTAGCTAAGGAAAAACTTGGGTTTACTCTACATTTTATGCAAGAAAAGTTAAGATTACCTCTATCCTATTTCTGTTGTTACAGGGAACAGCACTCCAAGCCATCAATATAGAGAGTAAGCAAAGCCTTAATTCTCCCAAAAGGGCAGTAATAAGGAGAATGTGATGACTTCCTCAAAAAACTAAATACATATATTATTTGTAAATCACTGCTCACTCAAGCACACAGAAACAAAATGTTTTGCCCTGTGACTTTTCCCCCCACAGAAGAACTTTAACTGGTACATTTAAGACAAAATAATGCAACCCCATATCAGTGTGAACATATGCTAAGTTTTTTCCATGAAAACATGATGACAAGAAATTATAATTATTCAAAATCAATGTACTATAAAAACTTAAGTTAGACGGTGGTGGTGGTGCAGGATGGCCAGGTCTACACAGAAAAACCCTGTCTGGGTGAGTGGGGGGGGGGGGACTTAACTGCTCTACTTAATAAAACCTTGCTATATCTAAGTTACTTCTTCATACATGTATAGCTACTTCTTAACTATAAACTAGCACTTTTAGAATGTCAAAAGATCACCACTTTAGAGCTGCCTAACACAGTTAATGGCATAAGGTAGCAAGTTTATCCATGAATAAATAACTTACAGAGTACAAACATATAATCACAACATTGGGAGACTGAGGAGAATTGCCTGAGTTCAAGACCAGACTGAAGTTTGAGCTACACAGTGAGTTCTAGGCCAACCTGAGCTACAGTTTGAGATTTTTGTCTCAAAAAAAAAGAAGAGAAGTGAAAAAGAAAACAGGGAGGGAGGGAGGAAGGAAGGAAGGAAGGAAGGAAAGAAGGGAAGGAGGGAGGGAGGAAGGAAAGAAGGAAGGACAAACAAACAAACATAGCTGGACATGGAGGCGCACGCCTTCAATCCCAGCACTCAGAGGCAGAGGCAGGCAGACTTCTGTAAATTTTTGGTTACTTTGATATACATAAACAAATTCCAGGCCAGTTAGGGTTACATAGTGAGACACTGCCTCAAAAAGAAATTTTAAAAAGAATTCTGGATCAGGCAGTGGTGGCACACGCCTTTAATCCCAGATCTCCGGAGGCAGAGGCAGGCGGATCTCTGTAAGTTTGAGGCCAGCGTGGTCTACAAAAGCTAGTTCCAGGACAGCCTCCAAAGCCACAGAGAAACCCTGTCTCAGGGGAAAAAAAAAGAGAGAGAGAGAACTTTTAGAGGCAGGCTGTATAGCTGTCTATAAGCTAGTTCCAGAACAGTCATGGCTACACAGAGAAACCCTGTTTCAAAGAACAAAAAACAAAAACACAAAGAGAGACAGAGAGAGAGAGAGAAAAAAACTTTTTAACAGAAATTCTTATCCCTGCCCCTCCCTCCCCAGGACAGGGTTTCCATGTGTAGTCCTAGCTGTCCTGGAACTCAAGTCTGTAAGTCAGGCTGGCCTTGAACTCAGAGATCTGCCTGCTTCTGCCTTCTGGGATTAAAGGCGTGCACCACCACTGCCCAACAGAAAGTATTCTTAAATTTAAGGGAAAAAAATCCCTAGAATTAGCACTATCAGTACAGGTACACAACTACTTCCCTTCTCACTTGACAATACTAGCCTGCAAATAGACAATACATCCCACACACTCCAGATAAATTCAGATGGTACGTTGATCCTGATAGGGCTTTGTTCATAGAGCTTTTCCTTTAATATACAAAGACACCATAGTACATCCAAAGCACCGGTGCACAGCTCTAAGACTCAGAGCTGGAGTTTACAAAGACCCTCAATGACAGAGACTGTGACATGGAAACACAAAAACACAGATCAAAAGCACTGAAGACAGCATTTATAGTGAAGATCATGTCCTGTGAGAGTTAGCAAGGAGGCCGAAATGATGCTGACAAAGACTTAACAGACTGACTATAATCACTTCAAGGCAGTAAGAGATAATGACACTTCGTGGATTTACAGAATCTAAAGAACTTTGAACAGCAGAAACGATAAATTATTTTCACATCTTTCTCCATAGTTACATTCATTAAAATAATGGAAGACACAAGTCTTTTAAACTAGTTTGGATTTATAAGAATTGTACTGAAAGCTCCAAGAATTACAACATTATTATTGGGTCCAAGTTTGTCTATCATTACAAACAATAGCCACAGTGCTAAAAAACAAAGTATGAGTCACAATTCTAAAAGGGAAAAAATGAACAGAGAAAAGCGTTGGATTCAAATACCACTAAGAAATTCCTTACTTAAATGACTGCCAACGACAGCCACCACTTTGACTTTGGAGTAAGAAGGAAAGGTCCACATTGTCCTCTCCTCTGGAACAAATTCATTAACCCCCCCAAATACCCACTCCAGCCTCAAAGTCCAGACACCAATACAGTCAGCCACATCCGCCTGCGAGAGCAGTAATCTAACAGATCTGAGTCACCCACTCCCCCGCAGTAAGAGGTCATTCTCTATCAGGAAGCCCACTCTGTAAAATGCGCTTGTTCTACTCCCAGACCGCAACCATGACCCACATAAAGCCAATTCTTCGACCCCAGCAGCTGCCGGCCATCTTCTTCCCTCCCCAGCTGACAACTTACATCGGCCTCTCCTAACCTAAGGCAACCAACACTCCTGTGACAAGTTTCCTACCTGAGAACCACTCTTAACTGGGATACATCCGAGCCGCGACGGATCCATCTAGCTCCTTGCTCAACTCTTTTGTGCGCAACGAAGCTTCTGCCTTTCCAGGAACTAGCAATCAATTACCTTAGAGAAGCTAAACTCTCCAAGCCTCTTCTCCCAAAGCCCGAGTCAAGTCTAATCAATTCCCAGACCTCCCAACGGAGTATGGAGGAGACGCGCCCCTGTGTGCTTTAGGGATCAAGCCACAGAGGCCCCTAAAATTCTCATTACAACCACTCTCGCCCAAACCACGCCGCGATATGGTCAGCTTCTAGGGCGCCGGTATCAAGCATTAAGAGCGCACCGCCACCGTAGTTAAGTCTCGGTAATTCCGACTCCCTTCCTTGACTACGAAATCCTCAAATATCAAGTCACTGAAGCCCCGGGTGGATGCCAAGACCCCCGCCAAGCCTCCAGCCACTGGAGTTTCCCAGAACGGACTCAGCTCCTCCAAGGCCCAGGCAGCCAGAAATAGGTGGCTGCCCCAGGCTACTGCACGCCGGGGACCCTGGCCGCGTCCCCATTGTTGCGGGTCCCAGCGGCCCCGGCAGGGAGTAAGGGGACCGCAGGGGTTCTCACCTCCCGTGCCACGGATCCGGGCCGCACCGGACCGGGCTGGGCCGAAGGACCTCGCGTTCCGCCGCGCCCGCCTGGAGAGTGTCTGCGGCAGTGGGAGCCGGAGCAGCGGCTGAGGCGGGAAGCAGCCAGCCAGGCCCGGGCGCCACGGGCTGGCTCTGGCCGAGGGTCGGTCTTCTCCGGCGGCGGCGCTCTCAGCCTCCGCTCGCGGTCCGCACCAGAAAGCTTCCCCCTCCCGTCCCTCTCACCCAGCCACCCGGGCGGGAACACGAGCCATCCGCAGTAAAGTTCCGCTGTGAGCCCTGTTGTTCTTTCCCTTCTAAACAGCGACTCTTGCCTGAATAAGGTGTGTTTTGCTACAGAAGACCTGTTCAGGAATAAGTGAGATGCAGATAGATAGATAGATAGATAGATAGATAGATAGATAGATAGATAGATAGATAGATAGATAGATAGATAGATAGATAGATAGATAGATAGATAGATAGATAGATGATAGATGATCCCAAACCAGAACCTGCCTGTAAGTAGTGGGTCCAACTGGATGAATTTGCATTCGTTAGCCACAAATCAGTACAACTGAGTCTGAGCTACTCTCCTCAATTTTGGGATAATGTCAAAACTTACCGGGAATGAGATGATGCGGACGTAAGACCACATTGGCGTTAGCTCGTTGCTGGCGCTGGTTAATGGCACCACGGCTGTCGCCTCCAACATAAATTACTCCCCTTGAATTGATACGAGCCATATAATTTTTGCTCTTTCTCCCTTCATCCCTACCCGCCTAGGATTTTCTGTTGGTTGAAGCTGTCTTCAGAATTATCTAGAAGAGTAGCAGAGTCAGGGGAAGAGGGCTGACAGCGGATGGGGATTTTCTTTTCTTTACTTTTTTTAAATCAGTGACACTCCAGCGCAGGTTAAGATTACAGGATTTTTCTCCCTGGAACTGGAGATTGTTAGCAATTACCTTCTATTTTCCTATGCCCTGTATTGTTGTCTCTCTCTACTACATTCCTTTGGCTCTTCTCTCCTACGGCCAGAAGTGAATATGGGTGAAATGTGAAAATATTAGGTAAATGGTTCTATTTTTAAATTTTTATTTTGTTTTCCTCATGAAATTAATAGTATAAAACTTCACTTCTCAACTCCATCTCTCTTCTGGGCTTTAATACCTCTACATATTAGATATGGCTATTTTCAAAACAAATTAGGTTGTCAAAATTCAGGTGTGCTTTCCCAAACTATCTTTTTGGGACTTTAGATATGCTGCAGATACTCCCCCAAAAAAGATAACACACACCTGACATATTCTAAGTTTTCCATTCTTACTCACCAGCTTGACTTTCTGAGATGCTTTGACACACTTCTGAAGAGCTCTGAGGACCAGTCATTTGCACCTGAAATTTTTATCACTGTGTAATACACATAAATTTCCATTTGGATTATCTTTCAGGAAACTGCTAATGGGTAAAGGCAGACTAGCACCCTCTTGAAAAGCAGGACCGTGGGTTAGAAAACAGCATTCTCAACATTTCTGCAAGTTCTTTGCTGCTGTGAGAACAACTTAATCCTAGGTTGTAGATGGACAAAGCATGCCCCAAACCTGGTTTACTTCTCTCTACAGCCCGAGGTCAGTCTTTAATTTTTCCCAATGGCCTCCTAGTAGGGAACTCTTTGGGTGACAGATAAAGCAAATTTGGCTTCAAGAGTTGAAAGAGCTCAAAAACTGAGCATAATACAAGCCTGAATGAAGCAGGAATATTGTCACAAGTTTGAGGTCAACATAGACTACATAGTAAATACCTGGTCAGACAGGGATACATAGAAGTAGCTTTTCTTCCCCTCCCCCCTCCTTTGGTTTTCTTTTCTTTTTTCTTTTCTTTTCTTTTTTTTTGTTTTTTTTTCAAGACAGTGTTTCTCTGCATTGTTTTGGAGGCTGTCCTGGAACTCGCTCTGTAGACCAGGCTGGTCTTGAACTCACCGAGACCCGCCTGCCTCTGCCTCCCGAGTGCTGGGATTAAAGGCGTGCGCCACCAACGCCCGACTAGGGCTATTTCTCAAAATTACAAAACAAGTTTAAACATGTTCAGATAACAGTCCTAAAGAGGAACAGAGGGACAAGAACAAAAAGACACCTAGAACACAGAGACAAAACCAATGAATCCGTATTCCAGAAGGTGGAACTGAGATACAAATTGAAGGCAAAGAAAATGTATTCAACAAAAATTAAAGCACCTGCCAGGCAAAGATTGTGTATGCCTTTAATCCCAGCACTTGGGAGGCAGAGGCAGGTGAATCTCTGTGAGTTCTAGGCCAGCCTGGTCTACAAAGTGATTTCCAGTACAGCCAGGGCTACACAAGAAATCCTGTCTCAAAAAAGCTATATGTATATGTATATATGTGTACACACAAACGCACACACACACATTTATCACCCAATTTTTCTTTTGTTAAAAAATATTTTTATTTACAAGTTTATGTCTGTGAGAGTATATGCTGTGTGTGTGCTGTTGCATGTAGAAGCTGGAAGAAGGTGTCAGATTCCCTAGAGCTAGAGTTACAGGTGGTTGTGAGTCATCTGACATGGGTACTAGGATCCAAACTCAGTCCTCAGCAAAAACAGCATATGCTCTTAACTACTGAGTCATTTCTTTAGCCCCAAAGACTTGAAATCTAGATAAAAAATGGACATCCAAGTCTAGGAGGACACACTTTCCAAAGGGAAAGCTGGACACGGTGTACATGCCTGTAATCCCAGCACTTGGAAGATAGAAGCAATATGATAAGGAACACAAAGTCATCCTTGGCTCTATGACCAGAGAAGAACCTCTAAGCATCATAATATAGCTAATATGCCAAGGACATAGGACAAAAAAAAGAATATTGAAAATATAAGAGAATTCTGAAGTTACTTACAAAGCACTATATATCAGAAAAATACAGGCTGATGTATTCAAGCCACCAAAGAAATCAGGGGTTGTCCAAATTATTATATCCAGCAAAGTTATCCTTTAAAACTAAAAGAGAAAGGCTGTAGAGGTGGCTCGCTAGTTAAGAGTTCTTGTTGCTCTCTACTATCTATAACTCTAGGTCCAGATGATCCAATTCCTTTTTCTGGCCAATCATGGTGAATCTTTTCTTTAATCCCTGTTCTTGGGAGGCAGGAAGAGTGCTGTTAGCTTGAAACCAACATAGACAACATAGAGACCCTGTCCACAAAAACCAAAGAGTAAATAAGTACATTTTTAAATTAAAATAGTAGAAATAAAAGCCTTCTATGATAAACATAAACTCAAACTTTGACCACTTGACAAGCATTGAAGAAGGTATTTAAAGGAAATCTGCACAGAGAAGAGGAAAAGATACACACAAGGAAGGGAGCTCAAGGAAGAATACATCTTATAAGAAGAATAAACAAATGAGAATTCAGAAAGAGTGTCAAGTATTAACTCAGTAAACCTCAAGATGCAGAAGAGAGACATCTGTGCATACTTTTCAGTAATAAGCCTGGGTGTAGAAAGTCTGAAGTGTTCAATTAAAAGATGTTACTTCCTGGGCAGTGGTGGGGCACATTTTTAATCCCAGAACTCAGGAGGCAGAGGCAGGCAAATCTCCATGAGTTCAATGGCAACCTGGTCTACAGATTGAGTTCCAGGACAGCCAGGGCTAGCTACATAGAGAAACCCTGTCTTGAAAAAGCCAATAAATAAACAAACAATATAACAATAACAGTAGCAATAAATAATGTCTAAACTGGGAATGGTGGCACTTACATTCAATCCCAGTACTGCTGTGGGATGTCTTTCTGTAGGCTGTGAAGATGTTTTATTACCAGTTTCAATAAAGAAACTGCTTTTGCCTATGGCAAGGCAGGATAGAGCCAAGCAGGAAATCCAAGCAGAGATACAGGGAGGAGAAGGGTGGAGTCAGGGAGGAGATAGCAGCCAGCTTCCAGAGGAGCAAGATGTATTAGACCACAGGTAAAGTCACAAGACATGGAAAAACATAGATTAATAACAATGGGTTAACTTAAAATTGTAAGAACTAGCTAGTAATAAGCCTGAGCAATAGGTCAGTTTGCAATTAATATTAACCCTCTGAGTGATTATTTTTAAAGTGACTGCAGGACCAGAAGGGACAGAAAAGCCTCTGTTTATACAGTACCTGGTAAATAAGACGGGAGGACTGAAAATTCTTGTAGACTAGGCTGGTCTCAAACTCACAGCGATCCGCCTGCCTCTGAGGACTGAGAATTCAAGATGATCATTAGCTGTGTTCAAAAGCAACAATGCTACTACTGACAATTTAAGGAAAAAATACATACATGCCAAATATTGGGACACCTAACCTCCTAGAACAAATACTGCTATACATAAAAGGGAAAAGTCAATTCAGGTACAGTAATTCTAGGTGATTTCAACAACCAATCACCAGTAGATAGATCATGCAGGCACATCTCCCCAAAAATCAACACAGAAACTTGAGGAACTGAGCAAGTACCTCACTTTCATCATTTTAGGAATCTGGAGGCTGAGACTGGAGGACTATTCCAAGTTCAAAGCCGAGAAAGAAGCAAACTTCAGAGTTAAACTCTGTCTTGAAAAACAACAACAACAAAAGTAAGAGTTGACACTTTAAAGCTGTTAGAAAAAAACACAGAGAAAAGTTGAACATTGGGTTTAGCAATGGTATGACTTTAGAGATAACACAGAAAGCAAAGCAATAAAAGGGAAAAAGATAGGTTGATTTCCATCAGAAGTGAAAACTTGTATATATCTAATGGCTCTATTAATAAAGAAATGTCAGCCTTTGTGATGGGAAAGATATCTGCAAACCGTATATCACGATAAGGGATTGATTCTTATCCTGGCACTTGGGAGGTAGAGGCAGTATTAATCCCACCAAGTGAGAATAAGTTCACTACCACAGTTTTGTTTTGTTTGTTTTTTCGAGACAGGGTTTCTCTGTAGGTTTGGAGAGTGTCCTGGAGCTCTCTTTGAAGACCAGGCTGGCCTCGAACTCACAGAGATCCACCTGCCTCTGCCTCCCAAGTGCTGGGATTAAAGGCGTGCGCCACCACTGCCCTGGCCCAATTATGTTTGAGATGACCTAACTATCCCTGAAATTCCCCTAGGTGCACTTAAAATGAGCCTGCACACTCCTCTCAGGGGCTTTGCCATTTTGTGCAGGTGTTCAACCACTGCATGCAGGTATAGTAATAAGTGG